TTACATTACTGCTTGCTGTCACATAACAAGCATTGCTAAAGAATAATCAAAATACTATTTAGGATATTAAATGAGGATGAATTTTTCGAATGATTTTTCATAAACGGCAAATATCCAGCTTGAGCTCCAGGCTGTTCTTTCATCGAGGAGTCTTGTTAGTCAGTTAGTGAAAATTTTTTGTAAACATCTCGTAAAAATAAGAGACTAAAATGGATCGGGCAGTCATTCTTCAGATCTTCCTTATCACCCTTTTTGTGCAGCAGCAATCAGGTTTCGTACAAATTTTAAAAATAAAGTGATAATCCTGCCCTAACATATTTTCAGATACCTTAAAATTACAAATGATCCAGGAAAATATGAATAAATAGCGGCGCGCACCAGGGCAGCCGGTGCGATCATGCGTTTTGTGCAATTCTGCCCACCGGACGAATCCCTGCTAATGATTTTCACCGGCCTGAATTTAAATTTAAGGAGTTGCATATGGGCAGGGAACAATCCCTCAAAATTTCAGCTTTCTAGCCCCTGTGGTTTCCAAGACAATAATTTTCACCCGCCAAAACTTTTGCGGGGTCGTATATGTTACTCGCGGGTACGAGGAGGCTAAATTTAAATTTGCGGGGTCACGCGTGGGTCGGGAACGTTCTCCTAAATTTTCAGCTTCCTAGCTTTTGTGGTTCCCGAGTTGAAAGTTGCGGATAAGTTGCTGCGGACACACACATACATACAACACCGTGACAATATGCGTTTTGTACTGCTATTACACAGCACAAACCTTGTAAAAACTTACTCGGTGCAATTGAGATTCAGTCCAAGCGTTGTAAGATCATGGCCCAGTGCCAGTGCAACGATTGCTGGGTCTGATTCAATAGCTCGCAGAAACGTCAACAAACCAGCCATTCCAAACTGATCATTCAGCATTCCTGGTGGAATATTTCGCACTGTGCCTGCAAAACATCTGCATATATTCTAATTTCCGTTACACGTACAGTTCTCAACTACTGGGAAGCCACCCACTCATCTTATGTTTTCAAAAGAAACGGACCTTTTAAGGTTAAAAAACACCAGATTTATTCAACAAAGGTTAGAAACCTCGTGAGATGAATAGCAGTTTTATCAAAAAAAAAAAAAAAAGAAAACCAAAACCGCCAAGATTACCATGGTGTGGGTCTGCTGCAAAAGGAAGAAGGTGCTAGGAGCAAGGAAACGAAACTGGTTGCTAAACTCCTTCGTCTTGCCCAGATGCCCTTCAATTCTATGTAATATACTAATGTCCCGTCTCCTGACTGGAGCTCCCCCTTCCGCCATAAGTCAGACGTGAACGGGGATTGTTTTTATGTCACAAGAATTGTCTGGCGGTGGCCTGGAGCCTCTCACAAAACTGTGCGGTGGCAGCTTGGAGCTGTTGATGTTATTGATTTGTGAATAAAGCATTAGCAAGATTTTCAAGGCTACCATTCTGAGGCCTCCGATGTATTACAAAATCGCGGTCACGAAATATGCCCCAAACAAATTTAACCGGTAACGTTTCCTGTCCAGAATGTTCTACAGTTTATTCCAAGAACAAAACAATAAAGATTAATTAAATTTTCGAAAAACAAACCATCCGGGAATGTCTGGATTCCTGTTTTTGGATCAATGCTCGATCTGTCGGAGTACCTCGCTTCGGTGGTCAGTCCATCCGTAATCGTAGGAACACTTGCCTAAAAGTTTTTCGGTTTAAATCTGCTTTATATAGGGCTTGCAAAAAACTCGAGATCCCTGGTAACCCCCCCTCCCCCTCCCCTCCCTTTTTTTCTGCAAAAGCGCTAATCAAACCCGGCAAAAATTCTAAAAAAAATCTTCATTTCTCTTCCCCTCCCCTCCCTTCCTTTTTTTTCCTCTGCAACAGCACCAGTAAAATTGGGCAAAAATTCCGGTTTTAGTAAAAAAATTTTTTCCATTTCCAAAAAAATCAAGGCTGTCCAGTACTGAATGCTGTAATTTTCAAAAAAAGGAAAAAAAAACATACCTGAGTTTGCGTTTGTCCATTGTCAACCGGAATGGCACCTGGCAATGCCGGAAAATCCTCGTTCTGTATGTGGAACTCCACGCTTTGTGATGAGGAAGAATTTCCATCCGTTGTTCGCATTAAATTCGCTGCAAAATTAGTTCTGTTTTTCTTTTTTTTTTTTTTTGAAAATTTGGTTTATTTTTTTGGCCAGGTACTTCATCTAGAAGTAAAATAATGTTCCAAAAAACTCGAATTTATGAAAAAAACACTTTCTTCTTTTCTCCCATGGTAAATCTCCGTATCGATAAGGTATCTCATCGTGGTCAAGAAGTTATATATTTTTTTTTTTGTGATATGGTGGTATAGAAGTGATATATTTTCGAAGTTTTCAAAGCAAGTCAAATTTATAGACAAATTATAACTACTCGGGCTACGTAGTACTAATGAATGGCGACTTGTATTTTGCGTTGATCAAAACGAGAACAGCAAGATGGATGAATTAGAATCACTAATAACGAGGCATCACGTTAAGCAATCTCTATGTCAGCAAAACTCGTGGTACCATGGTCTACCTACATCGTCTCGTGCAACAGAACAGGGGCTAAAAGGCATCAAGGAACATCGTCGAAGATGAAAAACGGATGCCGCGAGAATCTGCCGAAAAGCACAAACGTATGTTAGAAAAAATTCCTCCGAGAAGCTAGAAACTAGGAAGAAAAGGTACGAACTAAGACAAAAATGTACACTGATGGCGAGGAAACAGTGGGCAACACAGGTGAATGTTAGAATCAAGACGACGGGAGCACTGTGACGAATTAGGGAAGTTCAAAAAGTTAGTCTACCCAAAGTTTTACCTAAGGAAGCGGACAGAAGAGGGAAACGGCAGGCAGA